GCTAATTGTTTATAACATGGATCTAGATTACTGTGCTATCAATCAAAAACTAGTTACTTTTAACATACAAGTTCTCTAATTTAGACATTTAGTCATAATATTTATTTAGTCATTTAGTCAAATTTAGGATTTTGACATTTTCGACAAAAAATAATGCCATGTCGAAATATATTTCGACACAAATTGTCTAAATGTTTGACTAAATAGGGTATTTCGACTAACAACATTATGTACGATTATAAAGAAGAACGACTTTATCATTCGGATTACTCCATTTTAACAAACGGATGGTGTGAAAAGTTTGTGACCAATTATTTCTAATAATGATAAACAATATGTAGTACAAGTTTTTTATTTATTTATTTATTTTTTTAATCTGCAAACCGATCTTAAAATTCATTCATATCGATATTGATATCTAGTTCTTTATGCACCCAAACTTGGCGTATCATGAACATCCAAGTATGCATCGAACGTATTTTGATAAATAAATCGAATAAAATACATTAAAATCTATTTATTTTATTAGGCTGTGTTGATATCATCCGTCGCCTCGAGGAATGTCATCAATCAGGTTTTTTTCAAAAAGTATTTCGGTGGGTGTAATGGTATTAAAATAGAACTTAATGAATGCTTAACCGCAGAGGTTTGTATTTAAAAAAATTTTAACATAAAACTAGAATTGTAAAAATTGTTAAATTACTTTTCGTCTCTTGCATTATTTTAAATCGGACATATAAAGTATCAAGTTAAAAGACTGAAAAATACAGAGGAAGCAAAAAAAAGAAGGGAAAGAGTGGAAGCGATGTGGAAAGAGATAGATGAAATGAAAAAAAAGAAAAATTTATAATGTGATTAATTTTTTGACTTTTACTAAAAATGCACCTATGGAATACATTATCTCAAAAACTAGCTAATCAATCGGTGCGGGGTGTTCTAGGTAAAAATGTTCTACGCCCCAAAAACCCTTCCCAAACCCTAAATACTAACCCTAATGTGCATAACTTAGAAATATCTATAAAACATAATAAATATATATATATATATATATGATAGGTGCCGTACCATAGGTGCGTTTTATAAAAAAATGAATTGTTTCGTTCACACAATTTATAACACCGTTACCCATTTATTTTTCACGTGAATCAATTGGGATGGTGTACTAATATTTATATACAATTTATAACGATAATACTGAATTATAAAAATGTAAAACTTTATTGAATAACTGTTTAAGTATTAAAGTCGTTATTAATGATAACAAATATTATGGGATATGTATGATTTTTATGACTATGTTTTACCAACGATTCCTTCCTTCTGCAATTTTTTAACATCATCTTCGGCCAATCCTAATATATCAAATAGAATTTCTCGATTATGTTGTCCTAAATTCGGGCCTGCCCATTTTGTTTCACCAGGTGTAGAGGTTAGTTTTGGAGACATTGCGGGAATCTGGTTGGCCGAGTTAATATTAATATTTGATTTAATAATATGCAAAACATAAGTTTTTTTCCAGCAGCATACACACCTTTAAATCCCATCCTTCATTATCCGTATTAGCAACATGAACTGTTTCAAGTAACTCACGCTCCTGAACATGTTCATCTTCAACAATGTCTTTAATATTATATATGTAGCCACATGGTACCTCAGCCTTCTCTAATTTTTCTACCACTTCTTTGGATGTGCAAGTACGCGTCCAATCTGAAATTGCATTATCGATCATTTCTCCATGTTTTACACGTTCTTTATTGGTTTCATATTCTGCGGTGGTGAGATCTTCCCTTCCGGCAACTTTCATCAGTCGTTTATATATTGCATCTCCGTTTCCACCAATGATTACATACTTAGAATCTGCGCACGGATACGCGTTTGTAGGTACGATACCGGTCACAGAAGTACCAGAAGGTTGCCTTATCT